AAAACTCAAGTCGTTTCTTGGCTACATCTGGGGAGTTTGAAATGACAGATGGACTTAAACAAGAAATATACCTTGTTAGAGCATATCGAAGTGGCGAACGATCGAGGAGTTTTGTCAAAAATGCAACATAATAGTTTTTGCAGTCGTTGCCAAACACCAAGAGTTGTTGTTCAGACATTTTTCCACCGATTCCTTCCGCTTTGATAGCCGCTTTTACAGCAAATCCCACGTCTACTTCAGCTGATGTAAGAAGGTTGTCCTGATTTAAGTCAATCTCCGTTAGCGCTTTAGGTTTCTTTTTAAGGCGGTCTGGCTTCACCACTCTCTGCATCGCATTTTGAACTAGGCTTGTTAGTTCATCGTACAAAAAGGGAGCAAGTGGTGCATCACCCTGAAATTCTTTCAAAAATGGTTCCACATTTGCCGCTGCAGCTACAAAAAAAGCTCAATTTAGGTCCAAAGAGCTGATCCGATACCGCTTGGGACACCACTGAAAACGCGTTGGAGCTGTAAACCGCCTTAAAGCTTCTCCTGAAATCGGGATGACTTTCTTTTCGTTTTGACTCTTGTTGAAATTTTACTGCCTTCACATATGTTCGCAGATGAGGAAGCATATCTAGAGCTCGTTCTGCTACTCGCTGGTTTTCCACCCACCTGACTCCGCAAAATTTGAGCGGCAATATGGTGCTACCAGTAACTGCTATAAAGTCAGCACGTCTTAGGGGAACATCTTTTAGCAGGTAGTACAACGACATCAGAAACTGATCGATCTTCCAGTCCGTTTTCTGCATACCGCTCTGGAACGAATTATGCACTACATGAAGACCGCAACTGCCAATGCTGAGTAGACTGAAGGAACTGCTCTCACGCATCTCTTGCAGTTCGGAGGACAGATCGTTAAGGAGTCGCCAGTTCACGTTGGGTCCATCCATAGACACCTGAATAACTTTTTTCAACAGTCCGGGATATGCTTCGAAACACTTCTTGATCCCACTCATCAAGTCAATCGCTCGTGTCGATGATAGGAAAGCTGAGCCTACATATCTTGTCTTCATCCCAAAAATGAATGCTTACATCAAGTTGCTGCCGTTGTGCAATTTTGTTCAGTGTTTCGTCGAATCCAAGGACGACCTCGGAGCAACTTTCAACTTTGGTCAGTAAGATCTTCTTGAAGTAAGGTGCCAGACCGTGTGTGATGAAATAACCAACTTTGGTGCGGCTCATCTCCATCTTCGAAGCAATTTGGCTGTCAGGAAACATCTTCTGGAACAGAGCAACACTGGTACCTGCACTACGGTATGAACCATGGGTGGCCACAGTTTCAAGTGCCCATAACATTTCAGCGGACGTCACCGAATCGTTTAAAAAATACTTTTTCATGACAGCCTGATTGGCGCCTACTGCCACTTCAGATGATGTTGAAGCATTTGTCTGAATTGGATCGACCAAGGTAGTTGTACTCACCTTGGGATCGACAGTCAAACTTGAAGTTGAAGATATGATTTTATCATTTGTTGAACGATCTGAAATTTGAGATAGAAGATCAGTATTCAATTCATAGAATTCTTGTATTAAAGTCTCAGCACATGATGAACTTGATTCGATAGCAACCAAAACAATAATCGAAGCTTCGTTGCAAGTTTCAGTGCATTGTGGTATAATCAAGCGTGTTATTTCGGAGCTTACCATTCGTTCCAAATAAGCTGCTGATCGGCAAATTTGAGCGACGTGCTGCAGCCTGATGCTGATGGCCTTTGCTTTTTTTGATTTATTGCACCAGGTGCATCGAGCAGCAGTCGGTACTTTGGGATCCGGCGCGCTCCATGGATAATCCTTCTCATACCTCGTCGAATATTTTGTAGTCATGGTTATTTGCTCCAAATTTCTCAAATTTCACTACTCTTATTTGATAGTTTTACACTTATAAACACAGATGGAAAACGCGTCTCACTTTTTTCAATGCAAATGCGGTTTTGAACAGGCCAATGCTCGCGAAATGAATGAAAAAAACACGAAGCTTTTTCATTGACGAAGGTTGATAGCTCGTCGTCGGGTCGGTACGTTTCAGAACATACCAATACATGCGAAGAGCCGAACGTGAGGTGAACGAAAAAGCTTTTAAAAGAGAATGTCGAACGAACCCGATCGTCCAACTTTGCTGAATCTTTTTCAGACGCTTGATCGCCGTCGAAAAAAAAAGCTTTAAGCCGCTTAATGTCGTTCGTTTTTGTTCTGGAGTAACAGCAGATCTGTACTACCGTACACCCAAATTTTTCAGGGTGTAGCTGTTTGGTGCATGTTTGTTTATAAACGAATGATGCTGAGCTGTCAATAGCTCGCACTTGTTGGCGCTCAGTGTTAGGTACACCTCGAAAACGGAATCGGTGTAAGAGAATAAAAGCTGCCATCGCCAGTCAACATCAAGGTGGGACGATTAGCATTTTCGAATTATATTGAGCAAGTTGGACTGAGAAAGCGTGTGAACTTGTGCATATGCAATTAAATTAAAATAAAATATATAATTTGATTTTTCCCGGTTTTGTTTCGGAATTCCCGGTTTTTTCCCGGTCCATTTCAAATTCCCAGCTTTTTCCCGGTTCTGCGGCCCCCCTGAGTAAATGATTGCACGAAATGAATGTAAATGATTTTCCATGCCTGGGTACAACACAACAAATACTTTATCTTCCCCTATCGAATAAGCATCCTCCGTCAGATCGGGATCCACTTCCAGAGGTTTCATTGTATGACAGTATCGCCGACGGGGGGCAGAGCACTTCCATTGCAGTAATGGACGCACTTAGCACTCACACACTCATCGCGAAACGGTTGCTTTCCAAAGTCGACGACGCATCGACTGAAAGAGCTGCTGATGAAGAACAATGAGGAGGACCACACAATGGTTGCTGTCGAGTATAAAAGACGATCGCGTGACACACATTGAGAGTGGTCTGCTTTTGTCGACAGCCGAGTGAACACTGGGACTGCTTCTAGTTTTAGGTTTTTTTTTTAAAAGCTTGTGAGTAGTTCTTCTCTTACTTTAAAATAATTTGGAAGATTCGTGGGTGAAACCAGTTTATTTAAATATGTTAAAAGTTAAGAAAAAAAAATTACTCTGCCCTTAGAAAATCAAAAACTAGAAGCAATTGGATACCAACATTTTCAGCAGTTCCAGAAATTGTTGAATCGACCTCCTCCTGAAACTTTGCGGAATTGATTGTCATGGACTCATTTTGATTCACATGTTTGCAATAATTCGCCCATTTTGGATCTTTTAAAATATTAAAAATGGCGTCATTTATATTTTTCAAAAAAATGTTACCCAGAAACGGCACTTCTCATCAAAATGACGTCCTCAGATTAAATTCTGGGAAAAACTACAAGGGACAGCCCAATGGGATTGTACGAACAGTTGACGTAGGACTACGCTCACATATGTCAACTATTTGTATCGAACGTTTTTAAAATTCCCGATATTTATTTATTTACTTATTTCATCAACCGATGTAGACAAGTACATATACATATACAAATTTGTTTTTCTTAAGAATATTAAAAATAAAATTGTCTGCTATTCGAATGCGATGAACGTCTCACCTCTCACCGCAATGTTGCTTCCTCTCCTGGATCTTCTGGCGAATTTCCTGATCCTGGTTAGGATTTCCGAATCGGTATTTGATAAGTCTCTCGAACGTAGACCAATCCTCGAACTCATCCACAAATGTTCTCCTTTCATTCAGAACGATGCAGAGATCGAGCGTTTCAAGCTACAGCGACTGGACTAACCCGCTGGTTCCAGTGAGGAAGTCAAATGGGAAAAATCGTGTATGCCTTGACTCCCGTCGGATCAATGCGATGACCGTCAAGGACGCATATACGATGCAAAACATGCAGAATTGTACCAAAATACTACACGATTATAGACTTAAAGGATGCCTATTTCCAGATTCCTTTAAAGGAACTACACTACGTTCCAAACGTCGAAAGGGCTGTTCCGTTTCAAGGTGTGTCCCCGTTTGGATTGACAACCGCACCTTTCACGATGTGTCGGTTGATGAACAAAGTCATTGGGTTCGACCTTCAACCTTTTATCTTTGTTTACCTGGACGACATTGTGATCGGCACGGAGACTCTCAAGGAACATTTTCGACTGCTCGGGATAGTAGCAGATCGTCTGAGGAAGGGTAAACTAACAATATCGTAGGAGAAATCCAGGTTTTGCAGAAAGAAGGTGATGTATCTGGGGTACTTGTTTACCGTGCGAGGTGTCTCCGTTGACCGTTCGAGGGTTCAACCAATCCTGGACTACGCTCGTCTTGCTTGGTTCTACCAGAGGTGTTTGTTAAAAACTACAGCCGAGTGACGGCTCCAATAACGGATCTCCTGGAGAAAGGACAAGAAGAAATTCACCTGGTCGGAGAGGAAGCGGAAGCGGCTCTAAAGGAGTTGAAATCAGTGCTCACGTCGGCACCGGTCTTAACCAATCCGGACTTTACGAAACCGTTCGCCATCGAATCGGGCGCCTCGGAGAACGCTGTGGAAGCTGCATTGGTCCACGAACAGGGTGGAGAAACCAGAGTCATCGGATACTTCAGCAAGAAGCTCAGTTGTACCCAGAGAAAGTACGCGGCAGTGGATAAAGAATGATTAGGAGTCCTGCTGGCTATCGACAACTTACGGCATTACGTGGAAGGTGGTGACATCAAACTAGAGCACCGAAAAGGGAAGAACAACATTACCGCGGATGATCAGGGTAATCCAGTCAGGTCCGGAGTACGTGGAATTAGCATCGAACATCCAAGCTGAACAGAATCCGAACGATAGACGGTAAATTTTGGAAGTACGTGAAGTGTTCCAGCCGACAAAACGACCCTCGTTTCTCGTGGAAGCAACTTCCAATGCAAGCGGAAAGAACCTCGATCATTCAACGGGAACATGACAAAGTCCACTTCGGTTTTGAGAAGACTCTAGCCACCATCAAAGAACGGTTTTTCTGGCCAAAGATGAACGAGCAGATCAGACAATTCTGCAGGGAGTGTTTGAGCTGCCAGACAAGCAAGGCAGGAAATAAGAACGTGACACCACCAATGGGGTCACAAAAACCAATGGCAATTTGTCACTTTGGACTACATTGGGCCATTACCAGCGTCGGGACGAAATCGCTGCTAGTAGCAACCGATGTGTTCAGTAAATTTGTCCTTGTTCAACCATTTCGGGAGGCTAAAGCGGAACCACTAGTAGAATTTGCGGAGAATATGATCTTCCAATTATTCGGTGTCCCGGAGATCATCCTGACCGACAACGGATCACAGATCGTTACTCCTAAGTCTTTGACTGTAGTCTCCCGAGTCAGTGTCTGACCATGAAGGCTGCAGAAAGTGACGATGAAACATTTGGAAGCATGCAATACCATCCTATTCTTGTGACACCAAGCGAAAAAAAAAGTCCAGCTGTTGCTGAAGGAAAACTGAATCACTACGATCCTTTACGACAAAATACAGTTTAAAATCATCCGCATAAGATAGCTTCGGACACCTGATTGAAAAGTGAATGTTATTCAAATACAGCAGAAATACAAACGGCCCGCACAGAAGAAACCGGAAACGACTAACGAAATACGGTCACCTATTTTCACTGACATTTGATGAAGATGATCGAAGCGGTGGGTGTGTAGTCTCCACTCCTGTCGGCCCTATTACCATCATTGCGGCCTACTGTCCCAAACACGTCACCATCAGGGACGGGTTGGCAGCAGACCTACGGAGAGACATCATCAGACTAACTCGACGCCGTGAGAAGTACATCATCGCTAGCGACCTGAACGCCAAACACCAGGCTTGCGGCAACAGTCGACGCAACCAAAACGGCACAATCCTGAACGACGACCTGCAAGAGGCTCACTACACCATGTTAGCGCCGGACTCTCCCACCCGCTTGAGCCGGTTTGGAGTACACTCCACCATCGACATCTTCGTCAGCAGCATGGAAGACAACATCTCGCAACCTGTGACCCACCAGGAGCTGAGCTCGGACCACTATCCAGTGGTGGCCGATGTGGGCTCATCCGTCAACCGGTTTCAAGCTTCCCGACGCAACTACCATCGCGTCAGCTGGGATCAGTTCCAACAGTTCGACCCACTGTCAACTACGGTGTCCTTCCGGAGACGCCCGAAGAAGTTGACCGGTGTCTGCGTTCCATCGAGGAGGCGATATCCCGGGCCAGGGAACAACACGTGCCAGTATCCAGACAGGGGAGCAATACTCTGAACCTTGATAGAAACACCAAAAATCTTGTTAGACTCCGTAACTCAATTCAAAACCAAAACCAACCTTCTGGCTTACCTGTCTTGAAGACCCACTGCAATCGCCTAACAAAAATCATTCAAGCTAGGATGGTGGACCTCAGAAATCAGGACTTTGCTAACAGGATCCGCTCTCTCCCAGATTGTGCAAAGCCCTATTGGAAACTAACCCAAATTCTTAAAAATAAGCCAAGACCCATTCCACCACTGACCCCACTGGATAGTCGCGGCGACCCAGTGGTTCATCTGATAACTCCTGAAGAGTAGGCTGCTGCGATAGGTCAACACTTCGTCAGCTCTCATAATCTCGGACAAAACATCGTCAGCCCTCACGACGCTGAGGTTGCTGAAAACGCAACCAACCTCCATCAGATTCCCAATATTTTTTTCCGAGGAATCCGAGATTACGGCTAAAAACATGAAGGCCCCAGGTTTCGACAGCATTTTTAATCTGTGCCTCCGACTTGGCTACTTCCCCTCGTGCTGGAAGTCAGCTAAAGTCATACCCATCCGGAAGCCTGGGAAGGATCCGTTCTCTCCTTCAAGTTATCGACCAATCAGCCTTCTCTCAGGGTTATCAAAACTGTTTCAAAAGAGCAGTGTACCACCGGCTCCTAACATGTGCTGAAGAAAACAACTTGTTACTGGAGGAACAGACGGTCGTTCGACCGTCCACCAGCTGACTCGAGTAAGAAACATTCTCAGACGGAACAAGTCTGTTTCGAAAACATCTGCCATGGCGTTGTTGGACGTTGAAAGAGCGTTCGACAATGTCTGTCATGATGGCCTGGTGTTCAAATTGCAGCACTACGGTCTTCCAATCTTTCTAGTGAAGATAATAAACAACTATCTATCGAACAGGACGTTTCGAGTCTCTCTGAATGGCATCACATCGGATGCTTTCAACATCGGTGTTGGGGTTCCACAAGGAAGCATCTGTGGCCCCATCCTATTCAACCTGTTCACCTCCGATATGCCGGCTCTCCCTGATGATGGATCGTTGACTCTGTTCGCAGATGACACATCCATCGTCTACAAGGGTAGGGTCATTGGAGCTCTGACTGCCAAACTTCAGAGAGGCCTGGACGTCCTGTCTGAATATTTCAACAGCTGGACGATCCGTATCAACGCGGCAAAGACCCAGGTCATCATATTCCCACACTCTAAATCTCCCAGACTTGTTCCGTCGGTGAATAATAAGATCTGCCTGAACGGCACAGTGGTGGAATGGTCAAAAGAGGTGGTGTACCTCGGGCTAACACTAGACAGCAAGCTGATTTTCAGGGAGCACGTTGACAAAACCAAAACCAAGTGTAACATCTTGATAAGATCACTGTATCCACTCATCAACAGGAGGTCTACTCTATCCCTGAAAAATAAGCTTGCTGTCTACAAACAAATCATCTTTCCCGTAATAGAATACGGGATGCCAATCTGGGATAGTTGCGCCAAATGCCATCACCTTAAACTCCAAAGGATCCAGAACAAGATCCTTAGCATGGTCCTAAACAGTTCCCCGCGAACTGAATTCTGAGATCCACAACCACAGGCTGAAATTCAGGCATTAGAAGAACGGATAGTATTCATCATGGAAAGGTTCAGAGACACCTGTCTGAGTCTGACGAGTTAATTCATCAGATCATACGTGATCTAGCACGTTAGATCAAATCATCAGATCATACCAGTGGCGTCGCGTAACCTCACTTTTTACCTGTTCAATTACTTTGAAAACGTTATTTAGGGTCATGCTTACATTCAACTCAGGAAGGCAGCGAAGCCTATCTTGTCAGATCTTGAATTTGGTTCTGCGACACGTTCGTAGTTTTCGCTCAAAACTTTGCAGGCTTTTATTTAATTGAGAGTTCTTTTCAGAATTCTTTTAAAATAAATTTGAAATTCTCTCTGGCAGTCCCTTGAAAATGTCTAAATAACAGTCCTGAAATTCTCTGTAGAACACTCCATAAAAATCTTCAAATCCGTCCTCAGATTCTCTTCGAATTTCAAACTCTTTTCATTCTCCATATCTCAGTATCTGCGTAAATACACTAGCTAGGAGCCGTCCCGAGATGTTCGGTATGATTCTGGCTACCGCGTTGATGGCCTTCGCTGCCTTCTCGTAGGCGTATTCTATGTGGCTAACGGTCGTCGACCATCACTCCCAGGCATTTCAACACGCACTTCTAGTTTATCGCTTTAAAGTTACTGATCAATACCACCTCGCTTTTGTTGTGGGCTATCTGCAGCTTCGCTCCATGCAATAGGTTTCCAATCATGTCGACCACCACATGTCCAACTATTCCAGCGTCTTGCATGTTACCGTAAGACGACGTCGTCCGCAGAGCCAACGATCTCAACTCGCTTGGGTAGCTTCAGCGTTAGACCACCGTTTTAAATCACGTTCCAGAGCGTTGGACCAAGGATGGAGCCTTGTGGAATTCCCTATATTTGACTGAAGCTGTTGAACGCATTCTTGACGTCGATCGTTATCACAGCGTAATATCGATCTCCTCTCCACTTCTGTTTCGACGGTTTCTCGACTCTCTTGAATTGCATCCACTTTTACTCTTCCTTTTCGAAATCCAAACTGCATCTCCGACAATCCTTGCTCACTCTCCGTGCATTTCGTCAGCCTGTTTAGGATGATCCTTTCCAAGAGTTTTCCGAGTGTATCCAGCAGGCACTGCTTCGAGTTGCTCGTTGGTGACTTCGTCGTTATCTCCCTCTCCGTCTCGGTACGATGTAGGTGACCAGGTCGTTGGATCGTGCTTCGAGAAAAGTCCTTCCACGGTGACTTTCAGGTTCTCTAAGCACATTTCAGCGGGCATGACTTGATATCTGATCTTCGTTATCACGACACGTCTGCTTTATCTCTCGTTTATGTGCTCGGAACATTCCTCTCTGTTAGCTTCTGTTCTTGCTCTCTGAACACGTCTTCCGGCGGAGGGTGCTAATTTCCTACAGTAAGCTGGATGTTCCACTTCAGGTCGCAAGTTCTCATCTTACTGCCACAGGATTCCGTTGGCCGATACCATATCGGATTGCCTGATGATCACTATGGGTATATCCTTCACACACCCTCCAATTCTTGTTTTTCACCAGCGACGGACTGCAGCCCGCATAAAGTGACGTCGATAATGGATTCCCGACCATCTCTGCGAAAAGTGCTGGTGGTGCCTTTATTGAACAGCCGAATTTCCAGCTTCGCCAGAGCTTCCAGCAGAATGGAAATCGAAGATGCCCGAGACTCGATTGATCACTCGTTGCAGCCCACCTATTGCACCGTTCATGCCATAGTTTGTGCGCTGAAGTGGCAATCTCAGCATAACGTTGTTACGTAGCGCACGGGGTTGGACGTTAATGTTGACTTGCCCCAAGATTGCACTGCAATCAATTCTACCTTGTAAAGTGTCCGCAATGAACAGGGCCCTAGAGGTGTCTCTTCTAGTTCGGAAAGGCTCCAGATCAATCAGCTGGCAACGACTTTCATAGCTGGGCAGATGAAATGGGTCTCTCCAAGGCAGCTTCCGCAGAGCAAATCGAAGAAAACGGCGTTGAACGGACTCAACTCTCTCAGCACCATTGTTGTAGTTTGGACTCCAGACCACAGAACAATATTCCAAAATGGATCGCAGTGACTTCAAACAGTAGATATTGGAGAAATTCTTTACTATCCTGAAGATAAATCCCAGTGTCCTAGACGCCTTGTCGACAACGTACGAGATGTGCTGCTTGTACGTAAGTTGAGAATCAAGAATAACACCCAGATCTTTCACATGGTTCACACGGTCGATTACAGTGCCGATAAATTTGTAGTCAAATGTGATTGGTTCTTTCTTCCGAGTAAAAGTGATCACTGAACACTTAGTGGGGTTAACCACCATTCGGTTCAAATTACACCAGCTGGCAAAGGCTTCGAACTGACGTTGAAGGAAGTGACAGTCATCAATCGAGCGGATTCGTAGGTAGATTTTAAGATCGTCTGCATACGACAGTCGTGGGCCTTCGATGACCAGGTTCACGTCATTGAAGTAGAGTAAGAAAATCAAAGGTCCCAGGTG